ACACATAGTGACTGGGTGACTCGTAGCAATTAGTCATCGATACCATACGTTTCCAAGCTCGCTCACAGCTTGTTTTGCAGTATGTAGTCACGGGCTTTTTCCAGGTAAACAAAGCGCGTGTATGCCGGGTGAGAAAACTTCTACAATTTTTTAGCAGTCTGGCATACGGCGAAAATCTACTCAGAGGTACTTCGACATGACCAGAAGTCAAACTGCACTTCTTGTATCTTAGAGTTAGTTATTCTTCAGTGCCTCGTTTCTAACAACTTTGCGTAGACTTTTTCCGGATGACTCAGTAAGGTCATACCCTAATGATCAGAGAACTCGTTATTGTTTCCCTTCTGGTACATAATACTAGAACAACCGTTCATAATTCCACTACTGTTTTCCTCGTAGTTGTTGCAAATTGACAGAGACATGTTAGCTACAGCATGCCTTGTTCGTCTAAGGCTTTAGGCATCTTGAGGCGGATTTCACCAGTTCCAGTGACCATGTTCTTTTCAAGTTTTGCAACTTCTGTGGCTTCATCTACTGAAGGATTAGTATCCTTTAGGTGAGTCCTCCGGCGATTCCTCTGGGTTACCGAGATGCTAAAATTACTCTTTACATTGCTGAGGTTTATCTTCATCCTTGATACGAGGGCGTCCGGTCTTGTATTAAGAGATGATTTGACCATTCATCTTTCCATCTCAAAGGCAGTGATGATCTGCCGTGATTTCTTGTTTGCCGTCTGGAAGTACGATGCCAGCACGTACGGAATGTTTTGCATTAGTCAGCGTTCATTTTGGCCACTGCTCTCTCTGCCACTTCCCGCTTCGTATCGCATTCGAGTTGAAGACTCTTGTTTTAAAGTCACCTCTTCCGTAGAGCCTTCTCAGTAACAGGCAGTTGGACCTCTGTTATTAACCCAGAAATTCGTTTTGGACCGCGTTCAGCGTACTTTAAGTCACTGCATTTGGCAGCAGCTGTGAGTAAGCCACTTTTAAGAAGTTTTCACTCCGTTTCCATATCAGCTGTCATTGTGATATTCGTTCAAACCGTTATGTGGTTTTGTTTAAAGTCTCGCACCTGTAGAAAATGGTTGCTTTT